TATATATATATATATATACATTTGAATAACCAAAAAAAAAAAATCATAAATTACTTTATTGATACCATAGAATTCTGCTATAATTTATCAAGCTTAGTATCTATCCTGTATTTGGGTCTAAAAGATATGAAATTTTCGAGCAGACTAAAAACACAATCTACCTCCTTGAAATCTTGGTTCAAAAGAACGAGATGGCATCCTAACACATGAAAATAGCTGAGAAAGCCACTAGAGGAACGTTCTGAGCTTTTGATTGGTTACTCACATGTCATATATTGAAGTAAGTGTATATATGGGACCGTTTCCAAAAATGGAAAGAAGTGAGCGGGGCCACTGTGTTTGATTCAGTACATGAGCAATATCTTACAAAATAGAAAAGTTGAGAAGCTCTTATTTTATATTCTAACTTGTCAATATCGGTAATTTGAGTTCCTAGTTTGTACGGAACTGTGTATTTAGTATTTTAACATCACCAACATCCAATTGACACAGTGCTGCATTCAACGTACTATGTGACACACAAAAATCGATGTTTAACCCTATCGCCCCTTGCATGACACAAGGTTTTAGTATCTTACACTTAAAGTTTTATTCAAACTTTTTGTTCATGATATACCAATTAGAATAGCATAACATCTTAGCTGATAATCCATATTTTAATAGTATACAATTTTTAAGTTCTTAATTCTACAAGGCAATATTTCAAAAAATCCTAAATTTCCACTAGTGTGACCCATGTGACACATTTTCTTTTAGCATGTCCTCATCCCTATTTTATCCACCACCCCTTGAAAAAGTAAGAAAAAAACATAAATTATTCTATAAAATCGATATTGCCTAGACAAACCATGTTTTTTAGCCTTCAATTTTGTTTGGTTGCAGAGCTAATGAATAGAAAATCAGATCCCTTCTGCCACACCCACATGTCACATCCTCTCTTTCAGAAATCATTGATGGTTCTCTCTTACGTTTCATTTATAAATTACCTATAACCAATATAAAATCAATGTTTTCATCTATCGAATGATGTATTGTATAACGTTGTATTCTGAACAAAATCTCGTCAGTTTCACTCAGAGTACAAGCTTCATTCCGGTGGAAAAGTAAACTATTAGCTCGAATAAATTTGTAATGGTTTTTATCGCATAGTTAGAAAACCAGAAAAATTTTGAAAGGTAAGCAAATTTGTAAACTTTTGGAATGTTATTAATCAGTATTCTTTGGTGCATTATTTAATCAAATAAAAACTATCAACTGCATTACTAGCATTAGCATGAAAAATTAGGCTTAACCATCATTGACAATCGAGAGCAAAATAAGAAGAAGAAGATTGGGTAAATACTTTATTTCTTGTTTTTAATATTTATTCTTTATTTATTATTATTAAAGTAACTAAAATCTAAAAATACAGATCTTTTTAAGTTATTTAACACTAGATTAGGTAAAAATAAATAGCAATAATAAAATAATTAAAATGGTTCACGAGGTACGCACGTGAGTAGCTCGTGGGTAATGTAATTTGATAGCACAACATGACCTGCACGTTCTCCATGTGATTTACAACTTATAATGGCATAGATAGTAGATAGACACAGTTCAAAGGACAATAAAACAATAGAATTTAATTATAAATAGATGTATAATGTTACGAACTTAGAGCTACTTAGGATAAACCAGTGTAGTTTCATGTTACAATTTGAAGTCATACTAGAAAGAAAAAAAGGGTAATTTAGGTTTATTTCGATTTTTTTTGGTGGTTATAGGTTGAGAAAATAAGAGATAAACTATAAAGTTTTACTGAAAAAAAACATTTGAAAAGCATTTAGGAGGTTGTAGGAATTACACAAAGGGAGTTTGATATTTTTGAGATGAGGAAAAGTATTTTTAATTTTAACATGAAAATTCTTTTGTCCAATTTACTATTCAAAAGAAATACTCAATATATTCATAGACAAATCTTTATTTTATTTTATTAAAAGTACTTTGCCAAAACAATTTTTTGTATTTGAAAGATTGCCAAACTTTCTGAAGATATACACACTATATTGAAAGTTAGAAGTATTTACTATAAAGACTTTAAATGAGTACAAAGAGGTCATGTAGTTGGTCAAATTGACCGAGCCCATGTTGAAAAGTTAACTGTATTTTTTAATATTTGCTTTTAAATTAAGAAACTGTTTTTGTTGTTGTCATCATGTAGCACACACAAGGCAATAATTTCACCTTCTCAGTGTTCAGTTTAATAGGACATCTTTATAATAGCTTATATGTTGATATATTCTTTCATTTAGTTTGTTTCAGGAAAGAAAACTGTGTGTGTGTGTACTTTATTAATTATGCAGTTGTTTTTTCTTTTAAAAACACTTCATGTATCATGATTTCTTTGTGTAAATTGAATACTTTGTAATATTGCAGCTTGCACTTTATGTTCTGTCTTTCCTGGAACCAAAAGATCTGCTGCGGGCAGCGCAGACTTGTCGCTATTGGCGAATACTAGCAGAGGATAACTTGTTATGGCGTGAAAAATGTCGAGAAGATGGTATTGAAGATGTACGTGAGGTCTTGGGAAAGAGGAGGGCCAGAAGCTCAAGCACTACCAATCAGTTTCCACCAAGTATCTTAGCAACAAATGGAATTGTCTCACCCAGTCCTTGGAAAGCAGCTTACATGAGACAACACCATATTGAAATGAACTGGAGGTGTCAGCCACTGCGTTGTCCAAAGGTTAGTAATAGCAGTTCTATTTGCATTATTTAGTGTTTCTATCCATGTCAGTCTGTACAAAGACATTGACATATATGGATGACTTTAGAAATAAAAACATTTTCTAATCTTCAAATTAGTAAATGTAGTCAATCTGAAACTGCAAACCGAAAGTTAGGCTTCCTAGTGGAACCTTTAAGAGCATATATTTTCATTCTTGTTATTTGTTTTTGCACAAAATATGTTAAAAACACCTTTAAAACCTATAAATTTGAAGGTAAACATATATTTTTAACCAAAAAAATTTTCCTTAATCATCCAACAGATATACATGAAAGAAAATTATATTATTTTGTGGCATCTTTTATGTGAGAGAAATAATTCAGGCTTCATTATCACAATTATCAGAACTTGCATGGTAAAATCTCTGGCACCATACACTGAGAAAATATGTTTTTTCATGGAAATTTTGTAGATGGGTATCGATATTCAATTATTAGTTAAATTAAAATTATGTGCAATTCTTAAATTTTGATGTGTGAAACCATAATTTGCACGATATATTTATAAAAAAGTTTAAAAAACATTTGCAGAAGCTCACTGAAAGGCCTACTAAAGTTTTAATTTTTAACTAAGAAACTTAAATTTCATATCCTAGTGTGGCATCATATTTTCCATCATTTAGAATATATTTTAAGAAAAGTAAGGAGGAAGTCTGTTTCTCTAAGTTGATTGGTTGATTTTTGAGCTTTTTGCATGAACACAACATTATTGTTTATGTTTAAAAAGAATAAAGTTAGCTATATTGTTAGCAATAAACCAGTGCATAGTTTCTTTTAACAAATGGCCAGAAATTTTATTATGCAAACAACTAAAAATCCAAAATTAACCCTTTTGTGTGAGGCTCGTGCAATTTGCAAATCGAGTTGCAAATTTTACTTGTACAACAATACTTGTGGTAACTCTGAGATTTCATAACATATTCTCTCAAAACTGGTAAGTATCTTATACACAAATATGGAAGGTTTTTATAATTAAGTGATTTAACTAAAATGTTATTTTTTATTGTAGTTACTTGCATGCAAACTATTAACAAATCAAGTGCAAGGTAATTTTCATTTTAAGTATAAAAATACTTATCTTCATCTTATAGTTTCATATTTCATTTGCATAATATCTAGAGCTTCCTAAAGTTTTTTAAAGTAAATGTTTATATTTTATTTTTCATTTTCTCTTCCATATTACTAACTCTATATATTAACATTAACGTACAATCAAATGAAGTGATTAAAATTAAAAAATAGAAGAAAAAAAATTCCTTTTGATTTTTGTAGAATATCTTTAAAGATTTTCCATTTGTTAAATTTGTAATTTCAGGTCTTTTTCTTTTCACATACAGTTAAGTTTTAATGTTTTATTTTCCTTTCTTGTCCTTTTCTGCTTATTATTCATCTTGACATAAGTCAATGGTGCCATTGAGACATGTTACAGTGTCTTTGGGAGATGTGCAACCCTTCACCAAAATTTCCATTCAGTGCATAATATTGTAAGCCTTGAGAATGGAAGCAAAGTATGATACATATTTAAAAAATGTTTAAACCTTTTTATTATGCATTAATAGTAAGACCTAAATTCAGTTTTCACTGTATATCTAACTATAACATATGTAGGTAAGAAACAACCATAAGTGCTATAGTCTATCAAGCAGCCAACAAAACTGCAGAAAGTTCCATGCATTCCATTACGACAACTGGGTGCCAATTTCAAAATAACCATTGTTAAAATATGATGTAAAATAAGCTCTCTCTCTATAACATCTACATGAAGGCTATAAAGCTCAAATAAATCTGTTGAAGGAGGGTATGGCACCTGTCAGGGGTTGAAAAATTTATTACTTATTTCAACTGTATTCATTCAGACAACTTTGAAATGTGTGATTCAAAAGTTTATGTGAGCATCTTATTATCTAGACGTACCTCTACTCAACTGCCATTGTAATATTGAAGACACAAAAAGCTAAAGTATAGAATTTTCATAGCTTGTTGGTTCACGTGACAATACATCTGAAATTTCAAGTAGTTTTTAAAGGTTTATTTTGAAATAAAGGACTTAAAACTGAATGAAGAAGAAACCTACATTTGTCTTATTTTGCAGAGCTGTACAGTTATCAGTTAAGAACATGTGACACAGAAAAGACCTAAAATATATTGTTTGCATACAAAAATGTTTGTAGCCTATTAGAAACATTATTTCTTTTTTATTATTCATGAGCATGTTACTTTTAACCTAATATTTTCTTTAAAACCAGTAACTTTTCTTTGAGCTTGTAATCAGAAGGTTGAGTGAGCACATCTTGAAAAAAAAAAGCCCCTATTTCTCTCCTAAATGCCCTTAAATTAGCATAAGACATTAAACAGCATCAGAAATATCGCCCAAGAATACTTGCAGAAGGAGAACATAGAAACTTGAAATCAGAAATCCATGAAATTTGAAGTTTTGGTGATTATTATGATAGGCTTCAGTGAGGAATTGTCATGGTAGTTTTTGTGAACATGTTTAATTTCAAATGTAGGTGATATATTTGGTAAACATTATCAGTCCTTCCTAAGGTCCTGGGTTTGCATCTCTCAAACATTTTTTCAGGGATTCATCTGAAGACAGCAATGCTACATTAAAGCTATTAATAAAATGCATATGTATAAGAATAAAATAAAAAAACATAAAGAAAATAATAATAATTACTAAGACAAGGTATTTATAAGCAATTAATTAATTTTATGTTTCTGTAATCAGTCACAAAAGAATACTTTACAATAACTACTTTAAATCATATGAGCTGTTACAGTCAGAAAAACTAATTAATTTTCAATAGGTTTATATATATATATTAAAAATTAAAAGAAAAAATATTTAGCAGTTTGAAGCACTATTAACTCTTTCACTGCCATGAGCATATACATATATATTCCACTCTCTCTTGTTTATTTATAAATGTGGCACTGAAATAATTTGAAATTTACAGTGGGACTATATACATACAGGTGCACATAAAATAACTATCATTGCACAAAACTGTATGTAGAACATAAGGAAGCTTATGTAATGTGACATCTAAATCTGTACACCAAAAAAATATAAAGTCAAAGTTTATACATCATTGAAGTACGTTTTAAGTTTTGGTATATTTTATTAAATGCTTCATGAAGTTTATATATATATAGATACCTAGTTTTACTTAGGTTTTTTTCATGGTTTTAATTTATTGGGTAGAAACTATTTTGATCCATAATTTATTTTTTCTTCTTGCCACACCTAAACTTTTCCCATTAAGAACTGAAAGCCTGCCTTTTGTTATGAATATGCCAAAGATGATAGTTTACACAATCATGTGTGGTGTACCAGCTTCTGAAAATTGGGAAGAATGTTTAAATGCATTGATTCAGTTTTCCCTACTCTTTTTTTTTAATGATTACATGTTAATAAAGAAGTATAATTTTAGTATGAACATTAAGATTAGATTCATTTTGAGTTTACCTACTGATTATAAGCATCTTTTTATTCCAAGCTACAGCACTTACAATAAGGAAGAATATTTTTAGAAACAGGTACAACATTAAGATTACATTCTCAAATACATAGGTTTTAATGGTAAAGAAGGTTTTTGTATTTAATTCAACAATCTTAACAGTGTATATAAATTATATAATGTATTATGTATGCCTGTGCATATCAATCAGTGTGTGAATTGACAGATTATTTATTTATAACTGAACAGAAAAAACAAAAGGAAATGAATATGAATATGTGAAATATGTTGTGAAAAGTGGTTGTGGTGTTCTTTTAACCTGTTGTTCAAGTTATATCCTGTTTCACCTATGTAAAGAGCTGGGCAGTTATTCCACTCTATTTGTAAAAAAAAAATTGGGGGGGGGGTATTTTTTTTTATGTTTCATTCGAGAGATGAAAATTAATCTAGTCAGTTATGTTCAGGTTATATATATATATATATATGCGTGTGTGATCAAACAAAATTTCTCCAACACATAACCTGCACAAAGAGATACAATTCACAGTTGAAAATGAAGATAATTACAGGATAAGTTAACATCCCACAAACCATCCCCCCACCCAAAAAAAAAGCTTCACCACTAAAATTCATAGAAAAAACACACATAGTAGAAATTACATATACTGGTTTTCTGACCATGTAATCCACTGTAAACTAGGCATTCTAAAAGCCTTCTAAATTTAGCATACACTATATGCAACAAAGAAAACATCAATGGAGAAGTTACATACTAAACTCAGTGCTTTCCTAACATTAGCCAGTTTTCTGTCACTGTAGTTACAAAAACTACTAACAAATTTAAAAAACGAATTTAACAAACAAAGGAAACATAATATCTTGCACTAAATCATATATAGAAAATTCCAGCATACTTCTATCAGAAAAACGGAAAAGACTAACACATAAATATAACTTCAACATAAGGACTAAATTTATTCTCACCCCTGGAATGAAAATTAAACATGTAAAGTAAATAACCCCCCCCCCAGAAACATTTACAAATACAGTGTAAAAGTTGCCCAGCCTTTTACATGGGTGAAACAGGATGTAACAGGCACATCTGTATATGTTTTTGATTGTTATTTCAGCAGACATTCCTAATCTTGTGCACAACATATTCATATTTATTCTCTTTATTTTATTTATTTTTTCTATTCAGTTGTAAATAAATAATCTATCAATTCTATAAATTAAGTACATTGTTAGATTGTTGAATGTTGATTTAAATACAAAACTTTCTTTACTGTTGATATCTGTGTTTTTGAAAATCATTGCACCAGTGATTGGAATGTCACTCGTGTTTTAAAAAAATATTCTTCCTTACTGTAAAAGCTGTAATGTGTAATAAAAACAAATTAAGATTAAATATTTAATCTCTCTAGACTATTGCATAAGTGAGTACAATTGTGTGTGTGTGTGTGTGTGTGTGTAGTTTAAAAATACAAAATGATTATTTAATTAGTTAAGAAAATTATTCAACAGTTTTTGTAATTTGATCCATATTTATTTTATATTAAAGTTTTTCATATCTTGTTACATATCTTGTAACATGTACCTCCATGCGAGAATGTATTTCCTCTAGATTTCCAAAGATTGTTCATTCTTAAGTGCACTTTATGATGGTCCTAAACCTGATTGTTTTAAATCATGTAAAAAAAAAGTGTGTTCACACGTTTTGAATAATATCTTAATCAGGTGCTTCGAGGCCATGATGACCATGTGATTACCTGCCTACAGTTTTCAGCAAACAAAATAGTCAGTGGTTCAGATGACAACACACTTAAAGTTTGGAATGCGACCACTGGCAGGGTAAGTCAAAGAATGCTTCTATTGATGTATATATACTGTAAAACCTGGTAGTAGTGCAGTGAACTTTTTATTGAATGATAAATACTTTAGTAAGCTTTTGTTGAGACCTTTTATTGGAAAACAGTATGACCATTTGATACAAAGAAATAAATGCTTACATTTTCTGGTTATTTGAAGATCTTTACTAAACCAAAAGAAAAGCATTTATGTATATTATGAAAAACAATTTATAATTAAAATACTCTTTAATTTTTTGTTTTGCTTCAAACTGTAATATACAAAACATGGAAAACAATATATACTTTCCATGTCATACAATTTCGTGGCATTAATGGGCTTAACTTTAATGGTTGTTTGATTTTTTTGGGAGATAAATGGAAATTATTTGATTTTTTTTTACATTTTACTTTTGAAAATTTTCATCTTCCTGCTTCATATGCACCATATTGTTTACTTTGATAATTTCTTGCTGTTTTTACAGTCTTTTATTGTCACTATTTGGCACACTCTTGTTACAGATCATAAAATTACAGCTTAACCCTATTGCCACAGGTATCCTTTACTGCTCATAACACAAGGTTTTAGTATCTTACATTCAAAGTTTTATTAAACTACTTTTTGTTCATTTTATACCAATTAGAATAGCATAAAATCTTAGCTAATAATCCATATTTTAATAGTATACAAGTTTTAAGTTCTTCATTTTACAAGGCAATATTTTAAAAAATCCTGAATTTCCACTAGTGTGACCCATGTGACACATTTTATCTTAGCATGTCATCTTCTCTATTTTATCCACCACCCCTTCAAAAAGTATGAAATTAAATGTAAATTACTCTCTATGAAATTTTTATTGATCAGACAAACCATACTTTATAGTCTTCAATTTTGTTTGGTTACATAGCTATCGAATAGAAGATCAGATCCCTCCTGCCACACTCACATGTCACATCCTCTCTTTCAGAATTCATTGATAGTTCTCTCTTACATTTCATTATATATTACCTATAACCAATA